TCAGTTCATGAAATTACGGTATTTAACTGTAAATTTAAGTTAAAATTAAAAACCTAAAACGTTCCTACCGTATTTTTTACGGTAAAATTCCGGCAACCACAGATACATTTTTTTTTACAGTGTATACAGAGTGACACATTTACAACCCAGTTACCCATTCTGGGATTGTTATTTCATTTTATTTTAGAAATCTATGTTTTAATATTTACATTTTAACAATCATTTAATGTAGAAAACAACAAAATTACTTAAACTGAGGTTTAAAACTATATCATGACAGGACCTATACCCTATTCATGGAAAGTTCCTATTAGAACAAAGACAAGCATGGACTTTTTTTTACATTTCAATTACATGCATTTACATTTACATTTCCTATGTAAACAACAGACTTTATCATCAAACTCACTTTTGGTCCTTACTCTGCAGTTTTGCTTGGTATATTTATTTTCTGGTCACATAAAACAAATAACAGTTAAAAAATATATATATATAAAACATTTTTACAAAAATGAATGTTGTTAACAGATTTACAGCTGTTCCCTTGATAATTGTGCTACTTTGAGAACAATCCACATTTGGATTGATATTGTTTTGCTCAGTAACAATATCATTAAAAAAGAAAATGCTTCCCTCTAAAAATACAACAGCACTTTTACGGTCAAATAAATCTAACCTCAAATCTGTTGCTCCAAGTAGTGCCACCCGTAAGCATTAAGAAATGTGCTGTACATCAATTATTTAAAGTAAACCAAAATGTCGAATAGTTTTTTTTTCTTGTCGAAAAGATGTTTCTCTGTTACTTAATATCATGAAGTGGCTTTGATTTACTTAACCAGAGTATTTCAAGAAGGTCATGAAAAACATGCCAAGGTCTGTTTAACAAACCTTTAAACATATTTAATATCAAATATTTTTCATGACAATTAAGCAGATTTTCACCCTAATTCTCATTATTACATGGTGAAAAATCTCACTCGTTACCATAATGCAAACAATATATAACATATATATTTTTAACATGTAAAGTTTTAATCATGATAGAATTTGTTGTACTGACTTCATGCTAATATTAATCCAAAACATTTTTTTT